GAGGACCTTCAGGTGGGGTGTGCTGCAAATCTGCCCTCCTCTGGGTTTCGAGGTGCCTTGCAGGTGCTCCTTGGCTGGCAGAAGTTTGGCTGATGGCGTCTTCCCTCTCAGTTTGTCATGAATTTTGTTGATGGTGCTGCACAAAAATCTCCTTTTTCTTTTTTTCTATGCATCTTTCACACCTCTGCCAACAGCAACCTCTGGGAGCGATGCAGCAAGGCCACGGTACAGAACAGCCCATACCATTGCTCCGAGCTGGGACTGTCCATCTCTTCTCGGGGATCTGCTGCTCACAAAACCTTTCCCGATCTTCTGTGCTCCTAAATTTATACAGGCTCATCCTGGCCAAACACCTGCCGCGTGGCGAAATGTGCTTGGCATGGGCTTGTGCCTGGCAGGAATGTTAATGGGGGTGATGCTGCAGCCAGCTACGAGGGAAATGCAGCTTTGGGGTGGGAGCGGGTGTGTCAGGGTCCTTCTCCAGGCATTTGGGATCTGTTTGGGTTTCAGTGACGGCATGGGCAGACTGATACCTGTCTGTCCGATCCATCTGGTTCGTGTAAGGATGCCCACTGCAGTATAGCAAGGGATGGACACTCGGATTTCTTTATTTGCTGCAAGTTGTCCTGGAGCCGAGCAGATGGGATGAAGGAATGGTGGCTTTTGAGGAGGGGTGCGTGGATTTTGTGTTGTAAATTGGGAGCGGCTGCGCAGGCCTTCTTGTTTCTCTCCCACTCCCAGCTGTAAAAGAGAAGCCCTCTTCATTACGCCTTTCTTCCCCCTCTGTGTACACATACCATTCCTGCCTCTCCCCGTAGCCAACCTCCTGCTGCAGTAGTTAGTTAGTTTAAACAATAGGTCTTTCATTTCCGAAGATCTTCCACCATGCGCAGCCCTCCGGTGGGTTTTGAACAGCGAGGGGAAGTCGGGATTGTTCGCGTTCCCACGCCCCTGCGAAGGAAACCGATGGAAGCCCCCGTGAGCAGCCCTTCGGTGGCAAGAAGTGGCCGTATCTCATCCCTCTGGATTAGCTCTCCTGCAGACGAAGCAGGCTGGATGCCGCGCTCCTGGTGATGCTCGCCGGGGGGGGAGCCGCTGCACCAGCCTTGAATTAAATGCACCTCCCTACTCTCTGATCTCAGGTCGGAGCTATCTAGGGCATATTTTAAGTGCCAGTATCCTTTTAATTAAACATGGATGGGAAGCGAGGGATTGATTCCTAGCTTCTCTGTTGGAGTTTGCGTGCACCGTCTGCTTCAGCCCTCTTCCCCCACCCTGCGGCATGGTTGGGTTGGGATGCCAGGTAAACAGCCGTCCCGTTTTGAAGCAGTTTTTATCTTGCTGGGCTGTGATGCCCAACGATATCGCCTTGTGCTAATATTTGCTCTAGGAAGCATTTGGCTTCGGCTACTGTGGCAGTGCAGCTGAGGGCTTCTGCTCTGTCACTGCGCCCTGCTCCCCTCTCTGAGCTGCAGCAGGGCTTGCTTCAGGTTTAACCTATTAGTATGTGTCCCATCCTGGCGGGGCGGGGAAATGAAAGAAACCAGAGAGCGTAGACTTGTTCTCATCTTTCACGCCGAGCCAGCTGATGCCCTTCAACATAAGCGTGCAAGAGAGTATTTGGGCCACTGAATTGGGTTAGCGATTTGCATGTCTTGCCTTGCCAGTCCCTTCGCTGGCTTCACATCTGTCTTGGCTGCAGCGTTTGCAAGAGGTTAGGTCCCCAACTGGGGGAAGACAGACGTATCCCACATCTTCTCTTGGCTGCTCAAGAAATAAAAGTGCGGAAGAATCGTCACCTCATCCTTGTAGAAGTCCCCAAGTCGCTCCCTGGAGGAAGCTGTGCTGGGATGTGCGCTGGCAGCATTTCACCGACCATCTTCCAGTTCACTTGGGCCAAGCTGGACGCTACGGGCAGCGCGTGGATACCTTCCTTCCTCTCCTGTCCTGCAAGCAAAGGGCGAGCTTCCTGATGAACTTAACGCTCCCCTGAGAAAGGCAGCTGCCAACTTGCCAGCCTTCGCAGGCTCTTTGCAGGCAGCGCGACGAGATGCACGATGTGGCACTTGGAAACTTGGCTCCCAGTCGTGTCGTGAAGCTCTAGGTTAAACAAGGAGCCGGCGAGGGCTTCTCCTGGCTCGTGTCTTGGCTAGCGCCGTGGGGGAATCTGCATTACTTTGTCTTCTTGCCTGACAGATTTGGGAGCGTGGGGATAGGGATGGAGCCGCTGCGGATGGCACACAGTCCCTCCTTCTTTCCTCCCGTGATGAAGCCTCCCAGTTTAATTAGAGCCAGCAGGGAGAGAACCTCAATCTTATTATTCCTTCACAGCAGGGCATCAGTAGCATTTCTTGGACGTCAAAAGGAGGATTAAATTAGTCTGCAAGTGAGGAGGTTTTTTACCTCCTTCACGTCTCTGGGCTTTCTGGGAGGGTGTTAAGCCTCCAAAATCACTGTGGTGATCAATGCCTTTGACATGGCATGCAGCCCCTGATTACAGCAGAGCTCCCTGCCAGAGGGGTTATTTGCAGCATTCTTGGCTGCAAATCATGGGTGGGTGGGTAGAGAAAAGTGGGAATGGAATTGCTTGGGATAATTGCACCCTTCCCAGGTGTACTAACGAGTCAAGGAGGTTTCCGGAGGTGCGACCTTTGTGAAAGTGATCCGTGCCCCTTTCTGGTTGCGGAGGCTGCGGGACTTTTGGCAGGGGACAGGCGATGGCAGCTGGGAGCGAGCTTTGCTCTGCTGAGCTTGCCCTGGCAGGCAGAGCAACTGCTTCGTGAGGTTTTTTTCTAGACTTGGTGTGTCTAGAGAGGAACGTGTGCCTCCCCAGCTCGGAGCTGGCTTGCCAGGGTGTGTGCTGGCACCCCAAGTGCGGAGCAGGCGTCCAAAAAAAAAATAAAAAGGCAAGAAATCACACTCAGATCGGTTGCCTATCTGCAGGCAGCTATGGGTTGATAATATCGCTTCAAGCCTCTTCCATGTGCTCGCTGGACGCGGCATGGCAGGGTGCAGGGCTGGGCCATCCTGGCATGCTCTTGCTGGGTCCTGTGGACCTGTGAAGACCTTATCTGGGGGTTAAGCAGGAGAATGAAATCCAGAGCTGACCTGGGCAAACCAGGAGAGCAGCAACCCTTTCCTTTCCCCCAGTGTCTAAATGTCAAGGGTGAACTACAGCAATCCCTCTTTGTCTGGCATCTCGGGTCCTTTGCTGAACTGTGCTTCCTCCGAAAGAGAAAAAAAAGGCTTCCCTTGGTGCAGCGAGGCCCCGAGAGGCTCTTGCCTCCGTTGTCAGCCTTGTTGAACCCTCGTTTTGGCCCTGCAGTGATTGATGCTGTGCAGCTCCATGCTGAGCGGTCAGTTAGAAGAGCTCTCTGTGCTCTCCAGCCTTTTCTCCGCAATGTCTGCGCTACCTCAGCAGCATTGAGCAATTGCTGATGTCTCCCCACCGAGATGCAAGAAGCTTATCAGCCGTGGCTGTGCTCTGAGCAACAATGTTTGTGCTCAGCACCAGAGCTGGGTGCTTGGTGTACCGAGCGTCTTCGGATATGCGTGTTATTTTTTTTTCTCCTTCCTATTTTGGGGTCTGGAAATGGGATTTTGCCGAAACGCTAACGATCTTCTTCTTGTTTGTAATAACAAGCATTTCTTCTGCATGTCCTGCTTGGTAACTTCATTTTTGGGGCTGAGCGCTGCGTGCTAGGTGCGAGCACACAGGGCAGAGTGGCTGGTGTGGTGTCTCTGAGTGCTTTTGAAACTGGATGATCACCTAAAGGTTCCCCCCCCTCCCACAGCCCCCGCTTTCCTCAAGAAAGTAAGAAACCATTTTGAATCCCCATGGGAGCAGGAGTGTTTCAGAGGAAGAAAGACTTGATAAAATCGAGTATTTGATGTTGAAGTAAACAAACCTGTATTGTTCATCCAGAACTGGAGTTTTGACTACAAACAGGAGAAATTCCTGGCAATGCCCTGCAGCAGGCATCAAGTGCTTGGGAGTCAGCGCCTGTTTCCTAGACCACTTTTGATGTCTGTATAAGTAATTTGCTGTCCATTTGGACCAGTTTGGGGCAAGGTAATCACTAATTTTGGCTGATCTGTATGTCCTGCATCCCCAGGCACTGCCATTTGCTTTCCCACACCAGCATGGGGCTGGGAAGGAAATTTTCCTCTCCATTTGGACTTCAGGGAAGGACACTTTTAGGTGGACTTAATAAGGCCCTTCTTATCTTTCAGCTGAGGCAGTTGAATGGTGAGGTTTAGGGAGCAGGGGTCTTTTCTTAGACCAAGTGCTATTTAGAAGTAAGTTGATAAGCCCTTCACACAAATAGCCAAAAGCAGCCCTGTCTTTGCAGCTTGTCAAACATCTCGCCTTTTGACTAGTTTTAGAACAGGCATCAGAGACGTTTTGATAAATAGATTTGAAAATTTTACCATAACTTCTGCAGATCTCTTTATCCTGCACTTACAAAGAATTCAGACCCCTGTGCCCCAGATCCTGAGCTCCTCCAGCATTTCCCCTAGGAGTGATGGTTTAGGGATTTGAGGTCTCTGCTCTCTCCAGACTCTGTTCTTGTGCTGGCTGCTGTGAGCAGAGTGTGTTCATTCCCTGTTTACTTGCATTTTGTCGTGTGTAAAACTGAAGCCTTGGCTCAAAATGGAGTCGAGAGACAATTCTGCTGCTTGCTTTTTCCAGCAAGTGTTGAGTTGGAGCCGTGTGGTGTGATTTAAGAAGCTGTGTAGCTTCTGTTAGGTGAGGAATATCCTGACTGAGCTGTGCTTTGGGAGGGTAGGAGATGCTTGGATTTTTAGTGGGGCAGTGTTAGCAGAGCCACATCTTTTTGATGTGCTTTGGGCTGTTCCTGCCACCTCCTTTCTCTTGCAGATGCTGCCTGGGCCACCCCTCTTCCCTTTCTGTCTCAGGGACTTACTGCATGAGGTATAAGGAGCTTTAAGCAGTTAGTACCGTGCCTGATTGCTCCTCCCTTGTTCTTTTTCTGTAGCTGGTCAGCGAGAAGGTCGGAGGGGCCGAAGGGACCAAGCTAGACGATGACTTCAAGGAAATGGAAAAGGTGAGTAGGGAACAAGAGAAATCTCTAAAATCACCTATATAACTCCTCTGTGACCTTGCTGAAGCCCTGAGCTGATCTTCACTGCTGCTGGGTCATCTTGTCTTTCCTACAGAAAGTGGACCTGACCAGCAAGGCAGTTACAGAAGTATTGACCAGAACAATAGAGTACCTCCAGCCGAACCCAGGTGAGTGCCTGGACTTCTCCTCTCCCCTTCCCTCTGCCCCCCAGTTTTCTAGGGAAAGAGGCAGAGGGGGCAAAGAGGCATCAGAGAGAACTTTTTTGGCCCTGATATACTGGTACCAGCCCACGTTTGAGATCAGACACGCTGCCTCCCTTGACCGGAGGTGTGCTGGGCCATGTTGTACATGTGGCCATCCTGTGGCCTTGCTGGCTGAGCTAGCGGGGTCTGGCCCCTGGGTCGCTGGTGCTTTGCAACTCAGGTGAAAATCCTGATACCCCTCTTTCCCCATGCTGTGTTTCTGGGCTGTAAGGCACTGCTGTTGCTGTTGAACAGTAAAAGAACTGACACATCTTTCACCTTGGACCTAGAGAGGCCCTGAAGGGGACCTTTTTTTCTGGGGTGTCCAGAAAAAGTGGCGTCTCTGGGCTGGGAAGGGGTGGCTGGCTTTGTAGGCATTGCCTCTGGAGCCTGCTGTCCTGCATGCTTCTAGCCAGCTCATTCAGAGAGCGCTCCAGGGACTATGGGAGGGCTGGGGAAACTCCTTTGGCCTTCACTAGTGAACTGTGGGGAACTATTTTTGCTTGCTGTCTTGGAAAAGAAACTTCTCTTTTCGTAGCAAATTATATTTCTGGTAGATGAAGACAATAGGGCTTCTTGGCTTTGGGTGTAGCTTTAAACAAAAAAAAAGTTGGCAGTGGCCAGCAGCTGCTGGCAAGTCCAAGTAATTGCAAACACGGCTGTGGCTGTTTCTGTGCCAGCTTCCAGAGCCAAGCTAACCATGCTCAACACGATGTCGAAGATCCGCGGGCAGGTGAAGAACCCTGGCTACCCGCAGTCGGAAGGGCTGCTGGGGGAGAGCATGATCCGATACGGCAAGGAGCTGGGCGAGGACTCCAACTTCGGTGAGTGTCCCATCAGGCCAGATCCCCCTAGGAGCGTGCAGATGAGATGGCGAAGGCTGCTGCCAAATTTCCAAGCTGTTACTCTAAATTCTGGAAGGGCTGTGTGACCCTTTGCATCACCTAACAGTACTGGGGGGTCTTAAAAGAGGTTCGAAGGCTTCCACCCAGGGCAGCAGGGAAGCGGTGAGCAGAGCCCAAGTGTCCTGGATCCCAATCCATGGCATTATGTGCAAAGCCACCTCTTAATGCTTTCTTATTAAACACTGAGATAAATTTGCGCATAGGAAAAAATGCTTCCTTGCTTCTAAGCTGAACAACGGTGACGTGGAAACTAGATTGAGTGAGATGGGGAGTTTTATGGTGCAGTTTCCAGCTAGACCTCTGCTATAGGGAGGCTGTAGCCAAGAAATCTTTTTGCGTGGCGATTTCTCATAACCACGTGTGACTTGCAGGGAGGAGGGGGGTGAAGCTTTTCAGTGACATCAATTTTAATCCACTAAAACATCAGCCTGCGCACGTGACAGACCTGGTACAGTGCACAGCTGTCTGATGGCTTCCAGCGCAGGGAGGAGCCTTCTTGCCTCAGGAAAACTAAAAAGCTCTGGCTACTTTGTGGGAGTGACGAAGGATTCTCAAGGGTGTCTCTGGCCTACTCGGAGCCCTGCATCTCTCTTGGCTTGCAGGAACTGGAGTTGTTACAGAGAGCAAGGGGGAAGGAAGCTTTTAGAAGAACACACCAAACCTGATTTCCTTGAAGCCTCTCTTTAAAGGAACACTTAACTTGATAAATTGCTATGTTAGTACTGCATCCCTCCCTAGGACAGGTTATCTAGAGTACCACAATTGAAATAACTCTTCTTGTATGTTTATTTTTCCAGCTGGACAGTAGAGTGATGTTTTCACTTTACCCTCTATTTCACTTGTGTATTCTCCTGTGCTAATGTAGTGCTGAAACGGTTGGTTTGTCAAAGCTGCACAGGAATAATTTAATCTATAAATGGTTTTCACTGGAATAAAAAGCCAAGACTAAATATGCTTTGCTGCAAGTCTGTCTGGCTTAACTGTCATTGTGGCAGGAGCCTTAGAAAAGCATGAAGCTAAATAGGTTTCAATAAGCAACTTTAAGCTCTCTAATTCAGAGGGGAGGAGAAGGGATAAGGTTGGCCTGGTAGAGGTTAGTGTCTAAAATGAATAAAAGGCACTGCAGGTTTGCTGCCAGCATCTGGGGAAACTTGAAAAAGTTGGTCAGAGCACTCTGGGCTTAGAATTGTCTGAACAAAAGGATAGCCAGGCTGGATCAGACCAAATGCACCTCTGCCCCGGGCTTCTCTTGCCAGCCGTGGCCAAGGAGCAGAGCGAGGTTAAAGCACTGCATGGCCAATTAACAGCTCAGCAACTCCCTGAGCTAACAGGGAGCTTAAAAATAGTGCTTTTAAAAGTATTTTTACCTTTTCCTTCCTCTGTGTATTTGGTAGAGATTGTTCCTGTTTTTCAGAGGAAAGAAGTGAAGCATGTTAGTGAAGTGTCTTGTGTGGAGTCAGTACCAAGAGGCAATTGCCTGCTCTCACGCCGGGCACCGCTCGCTCCATGCCAGGCTTGGAGATTTGCTCCAGATAGAAATGTGGGGGTGTTGGATGGGGGACGGAGCTTGCACACGCTCAGTGTCTTGGCAGAATGGCTCTGCATGCAGCCGCCACAGACTTCGGCTCTGTTTAACTGGCTGGCCCCTTCTCCCTTCTCCCTTTCTCTTCCCTTCCTTTTCTCACTCGAAGGCGATGCGCTTCTTGATGCTGGTGAATCTATGAAGCGGTTGGCTGAAGTGAAGGACTCGCTGGATATTGAAGTCAAACAAAATTTTATTGATCCCCTCCAGAACCTGTGTGACAAAGACCTGAAAGAGATCCAGGTAAACACCTCGATGTTTTTCTCTCCTCCTCACCTCTTTCATTCTTGGCCTCTTCTGGCTATTAGTGCATGTAACTGCTTGCTCTGTCGTGGTGGGAACCAAGGACTCGCATAAGTATCGGGTCTGTTGCCCTGCACCACGCGTGCTTTGTCTCTCCAGATTCACTAGTATTTCCTCCCTGCTCAGCACTGCTGCTGCTACTGCGCAGCTCATGAGGCTGGATGCAGGTTTGAATGGTTCTTCATTTACAGTGTTTTATGGAAGCTGCCATGGGAGTACGTCCCAACATGGGTTCTGGGCTTGCTAAATTTGGTTCTTTGTGCTGTGAGCAATCAGCCGCATTACATTTGGGCTGCCTGGCATTAAATTTCACAGTGTTCTTTACAGCTGTTGACTCTATTTTGTTAGTAGCCTGGATCCTGTAACACAACTTTCAAGCTATCAGCAAGCTTCCCTCTAGGTCTCTTACACAGCATCTCAAGAAGGCCCTTTGGTGTCTCGCTGGGGAGACATGGAGCTTGGTAGCTCACATGTGCTACCACAGAGACAAGTCCATGCAAAGCACGGCCGGGCTTTGTAATAAGATCCATCCAAACCTCTAATTCACAAGGCAGCTCTCTCAAGTGAATTTTCGCTTACGGTGGTGTCCTAGATAAAATAACTGCCAACTACTGTTTCAGTACTTATCTGTAGTCCAATTCTGCAGGCTGCCATAGAGCTAATTTAAACTGTCCTGCCCTAAGCAGTCAGGGGATGCAGTGCCCAGAGCCTGCATCCCAATTCCTGATCTCCAGAGATCCCCATTGCTCCCGAGGAGCTGAAAGTAGCAGGCCAGCTCTTCATCCTCCTGAAAGGCTTGCATGGGGAACAGACCCAGGCTGTTCCCGACAGTGTTTTCCTCCAGCTCTCAGGAGGAAGGGGGTGAAATTACATCGTCATGCCAATTTGTTGAGGGTTGTTTCTTAGTAAAAAGCCCCCATAGTCACAGCAGTAATCCTTGCCAAACTGAGCTCGGACAGTCCACTCCCCTCTGTTGCTGCACAGCAGCCCTGCCTTGCAGCTCTCCATCACAACCTGGAGCCTCTCCGGTGTCTGAACAAAGGTGGGAGCCACAGAAGCGTGTGCTCCAAGGTCAGGTTTCTGAAATGAATGAACTTGGCCTGTAACTAGAGCTGCCTTCCCAGCACGAGAGCTTGGCTGCTCCCAGTCTCTGGCTTTTCCTTCTTTTCCTTTACTGTTCATAACCATCCTCTTCCCAGCACCATCTCAAGAAGCTGGAAGGCAGACGCTTGGACTTTGACTACAAGAAGAAACGACAGGGCAAAATCCCTGATGAGGAACTTCGACAGGCCATGGAGAAATTTGAAGAGTCCAAGGAAGTAGCGGAGACCAGTATGCACAACCTCCTAGAAACTGACGTGAGTGCCTGGGGGGAGCGCTGGCTCCTCTGCCCCGGGCTGAGAGCTGCCGGGTGGGTTGCGTGTTTCTGTGTACGCGAGGGTGGGATCTCTCGAGGGACGCAGAAGTCAGACACTGATTTCCACTCTCATTTTTGCAAGTGTGGTTTTGCTCTCTCAATACCCAGATCTGAGTGCCCAGCACGTGGCTTGACAGGCCTGTTATTCTTTCTGTAGCCCCTCTTCCTGATCCAGCTCTTGGCCAGAGGAGAGGCTGTGGCTTGTACCAAAACAGGTCTCTTCTCAGTCAGTGTGCTGGTGGGAGTGAGTTTGGGCAGGTAATGCAGCTTACTTGGGAAGGATTTGAACAGCTAGCGAAGCCCAGAGAGTGGCAGGAGATGTCTTCTGTCCTGCTGAGTCTCAGCCAGTGCCTGACCTCTAGTGTCTGAAATCCCAAACCTTCTCCTCATCTCCCTGGGGAGGCTGCCCTTCGTACATGTTCCCCAGTATGGTCTCAGCCCCCGTACACAATGTAGGAGTCTCTTGTCAGCTGGGAAGAACTATTCATCCCACCTTGGTGTGATTCTCACAGATCGAGCAGGTGAGCCAGCTCTCAGCCTTGGTGGACGCCCAGCTGGACTACCACAGGCAGGCAGTGCAGATCCTGGACGAGCTTGCGGAAAAACTCAAACGCAGGTGAGTCTCAGGGTGCTGTAGGCACTCTCAGTTTTCACAGCCACAAGCTCTCCCTGTGATACTTGTCTGTAAATACCTGACCATCCCTCTAAATCTATCTCCTGGCATGAAAGCCACTTCTTGCAAATACTAGAGCTTCAATCCAAACTTCCTCTAGGTTGGAGGGAGCGATGCCAGCTGCACAACCTGCTTTCAATGACAGGCACAGTCTGACATCTGAAACGAAGCCTTTGTGTTTGCGCCGTGGGCCGCTGGTCTCTGCTGGGCTGAGCCCTGCCTGAATTGGGGTGTGCAGCTCCCAGGGAGGCTGGAGTTGAATTTGGCAGGGGTGGAGAAGAAGGGTGAAATCCCCTTCATGCCAGGGCTCCCAGCTCCTTGCACTCTGGGCATTGAGCATGGGAGTGTCCCCCAAGAAGTGCCTTTTGGCCAGACCTAGGATCGAGTCAAAAGTTGCGTCGTGATGTTGGAGCAGATGGCTCAAGTGTCACGAGCTGGATGTGCCTGTCATCCTGTGTCACCTGGAGCTGCCTAGCCTAGAGTCTTTGTGCCATTAGCTTCCGTTGTGGTTAAGAAGGGTACCCAGACATGGTTGTGGCCCAGAAAGGTCCATGACAAGGGCTCCTTGTTGCTCTGAAGACCAGAAGGTGAATGCAATGTGGTGGGGATGACATGGTGGCCACAGGCCAGTGGAAGAGCACCTACATCACCTCCTTAGAGGCAGGCATCTCTGAGCCCTCTGCCAGAACCCTTGTTTTCCAGCAAGCCCTACTCTCGCTTCTGTCTACACAGCGGTCTCCTGGTAGACCCTGCCGCAGATGTGGCACTGCTGCATGTGCTCAGGGGTTTTGAGCCACGTGAATTGGTGAAAGGCAGATGGATGTCTGGCACACAGGAGCAGGGAGAGCCGTGGAGCTGCCTGGTCTTGCTGCTTTCCCTGCCCCTCCTCAAGTGCCTGACCTCTGCAGTGGCCCCGGGGAACGTGCAGTTGCTGCCGAAGTGCCAAGAAACACAGAGGTGCTGTTGAAATACTGAGCGAGCTGGTTCGCATGACTGCCGTGACTTGCACTGTCATTTTTCCTGCTGCTCTGCCTCACCTGAGCAAGCATCTCCCCAAACCCTGGCCAAGGAAGGAGAAGTAGTTTCGTTGCATCCGGGGCTTCCCTGCGGAGCCGGGGATGTGCCTTCCTCAGCCTGGCACAAGGTGGCTTGGACAGAGCCAGGGCAGCCTCTCTGCTTCTTGGGGCGATTTGGCGATGCTGCCCTGCTGTTCTGTCCTCGTAGAAGAAACTGCTGAGTGGATCCTGTGTCTGGTTTGAATTAAGAAGAGCTGGGAGGATCCTGCCAAGTGTGAGTTTTCAGACTGCAGCACGAGTGTCCTCTGCTGGCCTGAATTGCCTCAGACACCTCCGCAGCAAAGCCTGGGGCATGTGGCCCTCTCTAAGGGCCAGGTCCCAAACCCTGGGCAAGATCCATCTTCAAAATGCCCCAGCACAGAGGGTTGTGCAGATTCTTGTCTACAAACTGTTTTTTTCCCCTGCATAGCCACCGAGGAGAATAAACACCATGTTGATCGCATCGTATTCTGTTTCATATTTCAGTTGATCCACATTTCTTTTCCTTCTTTCAGAATGAGGGAGGCCTCCTCGCGTCCCAAGCGGGAATACAAGCCCAAACCCAGGGAGACATACGACTTTGGAGACACTGACCAGTCTAATGGGGGCTTCTCTTGTAATCCTACCCCCAAAGTCTCAGGTAAAGTTGTCCATGTGTGTATGTACACAGGTGCCTCTGGAACAGCCTCCTGGGGATGGAGGGGAACTACTCTGCCTGGAAATGATGTTTCTGGTGTGCTGGATGTGCCTGTGCGAGCTGGTGGCTCTGAAAAATGTCAGAAATGCCTCTAGACTCGAGCTGTTTTCTCTTGGGGCCCAGCAGCCTTCATTATATTGGCTTTGGGGACACCCCATCGGGGTCTCCAGCCCCGGGCCACTCACCTGTAGTGCCCAGTCAGTGCCAGCAGTGGCAGACAGGAAAAATGAAGCATCTCTTGCTCCCTCCCCGTCTTCCATCATGCTGCATTCGTCCCTCCCTGGTCCTGGCGAGGCAGGCGGGTTTCTAACACAGCATGTGGGCCACCCTGTTTCTCCTAACAGATCCTCCCTTTGGGCCCTGCCTTTTCCTCTTTCCAGTTCATGTTGTTTTTAAGCATGTCTCTTTTTGTTTGGAAGCAGCTTCCTCCTCTTTCCGATCCGACAAGCCGTCCCGGGCCTCCGTCAGGAGTATCCGTGAGTTTCCTCCCTCCGCACTGCATGATGTGTGACCATCTCTCCCCATCCCTCCTCGCTCCTCCTTCTGTGATGCTGCTGCTTGGAGCCACTAATACCTCCATGCTGAGCCTGGCCAGCAGAACAGCTAAGCTAAGCTGAGCTAAGCCTCGAGCTAAGCCCCAAATTAAAACAGCCACGCTATAATGGTATTTACCACCCCAAAGCTGAGGCCTTTGCTCACCCGGAGGAGTCGTAGCACCTATCATCACGCAGGCCCTGCATGAGGCCACAGGGATCAGATGCTTTTCCACGAGGTATCAGACATCTCGAGGATTAACCCGTTCTCGTTACAAGCACCCAGCCTGAATCTCTCCCACTCCTGCTCATGCTGCCCTCCCCGTATCCCATTGCTGAAGGCTGGAGGGAGCAGGTAGAGCCTCAGCACGCTGAGCGGGATTTGTGATCCCAGCTGGGCAGCGAGGAGCCTCAAATGGGTTGTGACCATGGGGTCTGCAGGTCAGCGTTCCTGCTGAAGGGACCCAAAGGCGTCTCTTTGGGGTCCCATTGGCATCCCATTGGGGTCCCAAGGCCAGGCTGGGTCTGTGGCTCAGAGCCATCATGGTGGGCAAAGCTCATGGTGGTGCAGCAAGGGGGCAGGAGGACTCGAGGAGCCCGGTGTAGGGGAAGTGCTGTGGTGGTGGGACCAGCCTGGTATTTTGGGAAGTTTTCTCCAAACCATGAACCTGCTTGGCTGCCGCTTTTGGTGTTTTCCGAGTTCTCTTCTGATGCTGGGTCCTTTCTTGCTGCAGATGTTCAGCAGACCAGATGTGCTGGCTGCCATTCGTGCTGGTCCCCCCTGCCCTGGTTGGAAGAGCTCTAGCACAGAGGGAGGGGATCGGGGGCCCTGCAGACTCTGGTGGCCTGTATCAGCTCAGTCCCTTTTCAGTGGGATCCCTATAGCTGCAAAGCTGAGTGCCTGCCCATCCCAAAGCATTAGTGCATAGACAGAGCAAGCAGCAGCTTTCCCTGCTACAGAAAATCCCCTTTGCATTAAATCATGGCGCTGATATGTGGGAAAGAGACTTTGGTTTTCTCCCCGTTTTTGGGGGGGGCCTTACATGCAACACCAAGCTGCTAATTGATTTGAAGCCCTGTGCCGAGGGAGGCAGTCGCAGTCTTCTCCCTCCCATTGCCCTCAGGCTTGGGGTGACCCCTCTAAAGGGACCCCTGGGGTCCTCCTCCACCACGTACTGATGTCTAACCCCGTTGTTGACTAACTGATGAACTGCATGACAGCTTCTCTCGTCTCTGGAGGAATAATGTGGCTTTTCTAATCTAGTTTAGGTTGGAGTTTAGCTTAGAGCAGGGGAAGTCCAGGCAGGAACAGGCAGCACGGGTTGCTGGAGGTGGAAGTCTGCTTTGGGAGAAGTTCACGAAGGATGTGGTTGCAGCAAAAAAGCAGAGGAACCAGTGAGCTAAAAGCCAGCGAGGAGTTTAAACTGAGTTAATGCTTTACCATTGTGGGGGCAAAGTGAAGGGCCAGCTTCTCCCGGGCGGGGTTGTGAAACCAGTTGTGCAAGCCCCAGCTCTGGCAGAGCCGACGATCCCACACGGTGTCCGGATCCGGCATCCGCCAGCACAAGTGCCAGGAATCCCTGGCATCGGCAGAGCCGGGGACTCGAGGAAGGGGGTGTGCAGGGGGTCCGGCTCACCTCTCCCCCCCTTCCTCTCCCTGCAGCCCCCCTGGACCAGCCCTGCTGCAAGGCTCTCTACGACTTTGAACCCGAAAACGATGGCGAGCTGGGCTTCAAGGAAGGCGACATCATCACCCTGACCAACCAGATCGACGAAAACTGGTACGAGGGCATGATCAACGGCCAGTCGGGCTTCTTCCCCCTCAACTACGTGGAAGTGCTGGTTCCGCTACCTCAGTGAAACGGCATCGCTCCCGTCCCCCCTCCACTCGCGCGGGGCCAAGCCTCCATTCCAACTCCATCCTGACACTGGCCCTCTCCGGCGGCGGGGCCGTGTTATCTCTGCGTCACCTCGGGGTGAGATTGCCACCAGGGAACAAGCCAGAAGGGTCAAACGACCCCCTCACCCCCTGTGAATTTGGTTATTTTGATTTTTTTTTTTTTTTTTTCCTGGTGCTTGAACTTCGGTACTTTGCGCGCCCTGCCAGGTCCCCCCCGGCTGTACGATTGTCGCAGGCCTCTCCCTGTCCAGTTTTTGTCTTTCCTTTGGGTCAAGCATCCAGATGAGCCAGGTGGGAGAGCCGGGATGCATCCGTTCGCGCTGAGCATCAGCACAGGGAGACACATGGCCTGGGGGCGGGGGGCAAAGCAGCCCCCAGCCTCACTGAGGGGCAACCCCTTTGCCCCCCACCCCCTTGAACACTACCCGTCTCCCTGCGGATGCCCAGCCTCCCTACAGCCCAACACCAATGCAGGACCCCGGCTCTCCCTGCTCCCAGGGGCTCAGGGGAGGGACGCCACAGCACAGCAACAACACTACGACACCCATCAAACACTAAGCCAGCCCCGCGGCGCGGGTGCTGAGCCCTGCCTGGGGCTCTGTGCCCTCCCTCCCCACCCCGGAGGGACAGAGCAGGGATGTCCCCTGCCTGCTGTTACCCCTCTGCCGTCTCCCCGCAGAGCTCAACTCCAAAAGGGGTGGCTGCTCCCTTCTGCCCTTGATTTTAAGTATTTTAAGCCAGGTTGCTTCTGGACCTTGGGCTTTTCCTACTACAAACTCTACTGAGTCCATCAGAGCTGGGGGATAATTTGGGAGGGCAAAGAATTGGGCCACAGCCCGGGGTCTACCCACCATGGGGCAGAGCAGGCTCCTCTCCCTCAAAGGTTCTGCACTTACTGTCCCCGGGGAGCCGTCGGCACCCCGTGCCGCAGGACCAGGGCTCGCGGCTGCCGGGTTGGAGCTTGGCTGATCCTCACGTGCCTTTCCTGCGCCCCCCACCTCTCTCCCACAGTGACCCTCTTTTGGGGGATTGGGGTGGGGGGGCAACGTGCCCCTCTGCCACCGGGTTTGGTGGGAAAAGGTATCGTAACATTGCAGCACCGCTTCTGCCACTCCTTAGCCCCGAAGCTCCCCGCGTGTTCCTTATCATGGGGGTCAGGATGGGGCCCGGCAGCGCTCGCACCATCTCTCACTTGACTCCGTGGTTTTACTTGCTAGAAAAGTGGTCTCTTTCCTCCTCTCCCATCCTCAGCCTTGGTCAGGCTCCGGCATTTCTCCTCCTCGGCTAGCACTGTCCCTGCCTGGCCGGGGGGGCTGAGCCCCAGCTCTGCACCGGGCCCGTACTGCAGCACATCCCTGTCCCTGCTGGTCCTGGCTCCTGTTACAGTTACACAGCCCCGTTTTAATGATTTTAACCATGCATGTCGATGTATGTCCGATCCCCTGCTGCGCCGTGCTCCCAGCAGGCTGACCAGTGACTCCGGTCCCAGATGCTGGTGGCACGGGGCAGTTCCCCTTCGCTCCCAGCAGCGCAGGGAGCCCAAGGGACCGGTGTCCTCGGGGCCCTCGCCTCTGTCCCCTGCCTGGTGGGGACCGGGGTCACGTCTCGGGAATGCTGGTTCCCACTCAGGTGGATTGAAATGCGTTTTTGTCAGCTGGGACAACTTGCTAGACCTTTTTTTGTAATGGTTTCTCCTGGTTTTTAGGGGAAAAAAAGACGACCCACAAATCTCGACTTGTATCTCTGAATGAAAGTATTAAATGTTTTCTTCTTTCTAACACCTGCGTCCTCTGTGAGTGTGAGACTGGGCTCCGGGGGGGGGGCAGGAGCAGCCCCGGATGAACGGCCCCCCCGGTTCAGCCCCCAAATCCAGGCAGCAGGAAGGTGACTGTAGCCCACGAGGCCACCGGCACCGTCCCTCACCGCAGCACCGGCAAGATGTCCCCAAGCCAGCGGAGCCGGACGCTGGCCGCCTCTCAGGAACTGCTCTTTAATCAACTACCACTTCCACAAACAACTTACAGCCGAGACTCCCACCACCACCACCACCCTCCCCTCCACTGCTGCCCCGGGGCCGGCACAACCACGGGACACCCGGGCGGCCGCTCCGGAGCGGGGCAGGAGCCGGCGGGGTCCCGGGACCCCTCGGATGAGCTCCCTGGAGCAGCGGGCGATGCGGTGTCCCCGCAGTGCTGCCCCACGCCGGATCTGGATGAGCCCCCTTGGGCTTGGGGGGGGGCTGCTGAGCCGAGCCCTGGCTGCTGGGAAGGCACCTGGTCTGAGTCGAAGGGGGGGCTCCCGGCCCCTCAGCTGCTGAGCTTGAGGAGGCTGTAGATCTGCTCCAGGATGTGGGTGAAGCTCTGGTCTTTGGGGGTGCGGGAGGCCAGGGAGCCCTGAGACGGGGACGCAGCCCAGTTAATTAAAACGGTGAGGTGGTGGGAGCGGATGCCCTGGCTAATGCCCCCTCCCCACCCAGCTTAGCGGCGGAAGCCCCCTCCTCACCTTCAGCTTGTCCAGGTACGTCTGATCCTGACTCCACAGCTCCTGAAACTTCACCAGGTCGGGGGCTCCCTTATAAAACTCCACCAGCAGCGTCTGGGGTGGGGGGAGAGAGGGGCTGCAGGCACCGGGGTTGCCCCGGGGTCAGGCACGTGGCCCCCCACCCCTGCGGCACCGAGACCTCAACAGCACGGTGGGGATGGAGAAGAGATTGTCACCGTCACCGGGACCGACGGCGGGATGAGGACGGGTGGCAGAGGCCCAGCCAGCCCCCGGTGGGGTCGGGGAGTCGTCCTTGCTGGGGTGGACGGGGTTTTTGGGGCCCCCACCCCACGCTCACCATCTCCTGCAGGACATCGTTGGTGAGGAAGCCGTCCTGGATGTAGGCCACCTCCACGTCCATGGGGATGCCGTAGTCGTTGGGCCGTTGCTGGAGAATGGGGGAGCACAGCGGGGGGTCACTCCACAGCACTGGGGCCACCCCCATCCCAAATAACCCCCCCATGAGGCCGGTGACCACTTACCTCCGGCGGTGGCATCACCCAGAAGGGCGCAATTTTGGACTCCATGCCGGGGTTACCGTGATAGTAGGGTCCTGGGTGGGGAGGGGAGAAACGGGGCTGACACCGGGGGGGGTGACAGCAGCCCCCAGCACCCCCGGGACCGCGGGAAGCGGGTGCTTACCGCAGATGAGGGCCAGGCAGGGCTGGAAGCCGTTGCCGCTACCCTGCAGCTTGAGCTGATAATCCATCTGCGCATCGATGTCGTGCAGGGAGGGCAGCGCGGGGCCGAAGGGGTGGCTGTGGTACCAACCCACCAGCGACAGCCCCCGCAAGAACAAGCTCTGGCAGATCTGGGACAGGCAGACACCATGGGTCCGGGTCCTCCGGGACCCCCAGGACCCCCCCATTCCACCCCATCCCTGGGGGTGGTTTACCTCCTCTTCCACGGCACCGGCGGCCTCGGCATCACCCAGGCGGGTCCGGCACGGGAAGGCTCGCAGCACCGTCAGCACTGGGGGGGGACATACACATGGGTGGGGGAGTGGGTGGCTGCCCACCACCCCCCCCCCCCCACCAGCGCCACCCTGCTACCTACACTGTGTATTGGTGTCCCACCGCCCACCCAGGTAGCCCACCACTTCGCTCCGCGTCAGGTGGCTGTGGAAATCCTAAAGGAAAAACTTAAAATCAACCGTTCCACCCCAAAACGACACTGGGGACACCCCCCCCTCCCCGTGGCTGTCCCCAGCGCCATCAGAAATGTCCCAACTTGTGTGTGTCCCCCCCCGGGGAGGGGACGCACCAGGAGCAGGAGGACGTTGCTGGAAATGGCCACGTTGAAGGGCTGGAACTTGTTGATGGCAGCAAAGGACGTCACCTCCACCAGGGTCTGGGGGTTCCTGGAAAAGCCGCAGCCCCCCTGCCACAACCGCCCCCGGCCCCTCCGGCACCCATGGGGCCGCCGGTGGCACCCATGGGACCCAGGTCCCCATCATACCCTACCTGGCCGAGTCGCGGGGGCCCAGGGTGCAGTAGCGGACAGGCACCCGGGGTTTGCTCTCCAGCCTTTTCCCCGGGGGGCCGTGATCTGCGAAGCACAAGGCCCCCGTCACCGCTGCTGGGTTGTCCAGGGTCCCTCAGGACCCCCCCACAATGCCACCTTACCCGTCCCCGCCGGCTCTGCCAGGTTCTTGCACTGCTGCTTCTTGCTCCTCTCCTCTGTTTTTTTGGTAGCCGTCGGCTCCGGCACAGGCGCCCGACCCTCTCTCGTCGCCTCCTCTTCTTCATCCTCAGGCATCTCCTCCTCCTCACCCTCGCTGGCCAAGCTCTGCGGGCAGCACAAGGCTGGCACCCATCCCACCACCCACGCTGCGGGGTCCCAGATTTGGGGTTGGGGGGGGGGGTTCCCGACCCACCTCCTCGGCGGGCGGCGTGTTGGGCTGGTGCTTGCGCAGCCAAGCGGCTTTGTACTGGTCCAGCTTCTGGCCCTTGTAGCGGACGGACGCCCACCCGCACCCCGACTTCTTGGCGGGGTTCACCAGGCGCTTGCAGTGGGTGGCCCAGGCGCTGGGCGAGTTGAAGACCTGTCCCGTCTCCTGCCAGGTGATGGTCCCGTCCGCCCCCAGGTCCCCCACGAATTTTTTGCCCTGAGGAGTTAAGGGGTGAGCCGGGGAGGTACCCAGCCATCCCCCCCGTCCTCCCATCCCCATCCCTTGTCCTCATCCCACGTCCCCACGTCGGCCGGGCTCACCAGGTAGTAGATGGAGAGGACGCCGCGGGCCGGCTCGAGGAGCCCGTCGCGGAGAAGGACGCGGAGGGTGATGCCGCGGCGGGTGAGCACGGCCCCCCGGGTGCCCCCCGCCGCCTTCGTCCCGCTCCCGGTCTCCGGCTCGGCCTCCGCTTCGTCCAGTCCCGGCTCCAGCTCGTCCTCGTCCTCCTCCAGGCACTCGTCCCCGCCGGGGGAGGCGGCCGCCAGCGCTGCGGGATGGGACACGCCACGTGGGGTCCGCAGCACCCGTGGGTGTCCGTCCCCGTCCCCCACCACCCTTGTGGATGGGGATACTGGGACAGGGATGCACAGGGACATGGGGACAGGAAGACGTGGGCATGGGGACACGCAGGGACACAGGAAGAGGGGACACAAGGAC